CTGTAGCACGTGGCCTGGCTCCCAGGCTCTGGAGCGTAGGCTTTACCACTGGGGTGCTCGGGCTTAGTTGCTCCGGGGCCTGTGGGATCTTCCCGGACCAGGGATCAGACCCACATCCCTTGTCTTGGCTGGTGGTTTGTTAACCACCAGAAAAGAAGTCCTCCTTTTCTTTTAAAATAATGCATGTCATATGTGTTTTTTGAGGGAAAAAATTAACATTCTAGGACTTAGGTCTTTAAAAGGGTATTCATTTAATAGCATAGCATGATTTCCATGTTAATAGCATTGTTACTAGTCTCAACAGACAAAGCAAGAAATTCTTTTTTATATTTTGACCTCACCATGAAGCTTGACCAGGGATTAATGCTATTAAAATAGCATTATTTCCATGTTAATAAGTGTCCTCTACTCCATCGTTCTTAAAGGCTGTATCATAATCCACTGAGTGGTTATTCCCAACTGCCTGTGGTGTTTCACTAGTTTAAAAGTCACTTGAACTTGGGACTTCCTTGGTGGCCCAGTGGTTAAGACGCCGTGCTTCCATTGCAGGGGGCATGAGTTTGATCCCTGATTGGTGAATTAAGATCCCGCATGCCACAGTGCAGTAAAAAAAAAAAATTTTTTTTAAATAAGTAAATAGAATTCATTGTAATTAAAGCTGTTCACTTGTCATTATTTCCTTAGTGTAGTTGCAGCATTTACACATTTTTAATCTTTGATGCATATTGGCTAACTGTGTTTTGCTGTGTTTCTTAGTCTTGGCTCTCTCCTTTGCCCCTCCACCTCTCTGTTGGGGACAGAGAATGTATTCCCCTGCTAGGTTTCAGTCCTCTTCCCTTTCCCAGACTCAAGCTGCCCTCTGGCCTTTAATTATCTGACTCTGTATAGTTCATCTTGATATCTGTGCCTCCTGTGTGGATTTACTTTCCTTTCTCCACTAGCTTCTGCCTAACACACCTTGAGTTTTAGAGACTGTGAATCTCCCCTCCCCCATTTTATTAAGCCATTCCTGGCTTTCTGTATAGGCACAGTTACACGTGTCTATATGCAGATACATGTAGGCTGAGGTGTCCTCACTAGTCTTGGAATCTTCCTGATTGTAAGGCCTTTGCTTTCTTTTTTCCCCTCTGCCCTGGCTTAAAAGCTGCAGGGAACCATTAAGCCTCAAGCTTACTCTGCCATGCTGCTGGTTGCTGGCAGGGATCCCAGTAGGTGAGTGGGGAGCAGTCCCATTCTGGGAAATGTTACAGGACCTGTATGAAGCCTTGGCCCCTTGTCACACAGCTTGGGGAGATAGTATGTGGCACCCCATCCGCATCTCTTAAATTTCCTTTGGAAGAGCAAGGGGGCTCCCTCCTTTACATGCTGCTTTGTCATTCCTTGGTGAGGGTAAGGTTGTGGGTAAACTCTTGGTTTCCTCTACAGAGCAAGCCATTTGCATCTCCCTTGTATGAAATTTTGTTCATCTATTCTGTCTTAAAACCTGCGAAATGAAACAAAACATTAGAATCTACTGTCTCTGAACTAGTACTTTTAGGCACCTGTTCTGTGCTGAGCCCTGTGCTAGATACTTCATATTTTATTAAATCTCTTAGCAGCCCTATTAGATAAGTAATATTATCTAAGTTTTCTAGATAAGAAGCAAGATTCAGAAAGGTTAAATGACTGATCAAGTTCACATAGCTGCTAAGTAAACATTCTTAAACCTAGACCTCTCCCAAGTCCAAAACTGGAGAGGTTGGACTTAAGACTTTCTTGGACATGAATAAATAAAGCCTTTTCTCGTTTCCTTTTCTGGGAGGCAGAAATGGAGCCTTGTTTATTAAGGCATAGGGTTGTTTCTTATCAAATGCATTGTCCTTAGTGTACAGAGCAGATTGTCTCTACACCAGTGCTTCTCAGACGCTTCCGTGTACTTGGAGATCTTGAGAAACTCCAGATTCTGATTTAGTAGGTCTAGGGTGAGGCCTGAGATTCTTGGTTTCCAGCAAGCTTCCAGATGTTCCTTTGACTAGCATAGCTCTAGATCAGTGGTTTTTAAACCTGAGCAGTCAGTAGATTCACCTGGAGATGCTTGACAAAAATTCAGTTTTACTGGCCCAAAACTCAGAACTTTCTAGTTGAAGGTGTTTTATGGTAGCTATGGGAATTGTTTTTGTTTTGTAGTTTTTTTAAAAAAGAGTTTCCCAGGTTATTGTGATAAGCAGTTTGAGAATCACTGGTCTAGAAGCTGACATATTACATGTACGTTATCCCATACAACACAGAGGTGTGAGTGGGCAGTAAATTTTGCTGTATTAAACATTTGAGGGGCTGTATTGGTTAGGTTAGGGCTTCCCTGATGGTCAGATGGTAAAGAATCTGCCTGCAACGGAGGAGACCCAGGTTCAACCCCTGGGTCAGGAAGATCCCCTGGAGAAGGGAATAGCTACTCACTCCAGTATCCTTGCCTTGGAGAATTCATGGACAGAAATCTGGCAGGCTATTATAAAATAGTAAGAAACCCAATCATATTTCTTGTAAGGGCTAGCTCACAAACCCCAAGAACAGAAAGTATTCCTCAATCTCAGAAGGTAACAGCTAGGAATTGGAAAGCCACTAGGAACCAGGGATGTCCATGCTTCCTAAATTCACTGTTTCCTTTTCTCTGGGAATGGCTTTGGTAGAAAATGGGCACCCAGTTTGGTTTAGCGCCACCAGCCAGTTCCATACTGCTGAGAATTTGAATGACCTAGTCTAATCTAGGCTCTGAACTGGTTCTCCCTGAGTCGGGAGGCTACCCCAGAACAGTACTGTGACCTGGACGTCTGGGCTTACATCAGATGAACTCAGCTATAGGGCGCCACTCTGAATGCAGGGATGCAGGGGTCCCCCAGTGTCTTTGGGCAGAGCCTGGTAAGGTGGTCACTCTTAAGTGCTTACTGTGTAGCTCTGTGTTGTTGGGGCAGGAGAGCAGAACCAGGTAAGATAAAGCCCCTGCTCTTGGAATTGAGAGGGCGTTATCAGCTTAATGGAGAAGAGAGTGGATATTTTAAAACTGTGATGAGATCTAAGTATTGTGAGTAGAGGGCTATCTTGGGAGCCTACAGGAGAGGAACTTAATCAGCCTGGACATTAAGAAATACTAGGAGAGGACATGTCTGAACTGAATCATGAAACGTAAGGACATAAGGGCCAGGTAAAGAGAAGAGTAGGTGAAAGCATTTCTGGCATTGGAACAACCTAACCATGAAGTAAAATCACTATATATCATTGAAGATTTTTGTGTGGGTAATAATTTATAAGCAGTTCTTTCTATAGTATAATGTCCATGGAAGGATGTGAAGCTGGAGAGATAAATAGGGTCCACGTTGAGGAGAATCTTGATGCCATGCTGAAGGGCTTGAATTTAGAAAGTGAAAGTGAAGTTGCTCAGTTATGTCCGATTCTTTGTGACCCCATGGACTGTATAGCCTACCAGTCTCCTCTGTCCATGGGATTTTCCAGGCAAGAGTGGGTTACCATTTCCTTCTCCAGGGGATCTTCCTGACCCAGGGATCGAACCCAGGTCTCCTGCATTATAAGCAGACGCTTTACCGTCTAAGCCACCAGGGAAGTTGAATTTAGGGGAAGGGGAACTATCAGATATTTTTTAATGGACATGGGAGGATTTCCATTCTTTAGGAAGATGAATGATTATAGTGTGGAGTATAGTTTTGTTGGTGGCCTTGCCTGAAGGCAAGTCGTGTAGAGGAGAGAGGATGAAGAAGAAGGAGCCAACTATAAGAATATTTAGGAGGAAGTTAGGAATCTAGGGTGAATCCCAGACTTGAGTGAGCAGGAAGATTCTGGTGGCATCAGATGAAATGAGCAGTTTGGGGAGGAAGATAATTTGTTTTAGACACATTGAGTTTGAAAATTTGAAAATGCCTGTCAGACACATTGGTGATGGTGCCAGTTGGCAGGGGCTCGGCCTTAAATAGTTGTCAGGGTTTACAGGTTTGGGAGTGGTTCCCCTCACTCTTCCTTTCTTTTTAAAATCCGCCCCACCCCCAGTCTCTGCTTGACCCTCTTATTCTAGCTACTCTTCCTTTTCCATTTCTCTTTTAAATTTAAGACTTACCTACTTCCTCCTTTCATAGATCTTCCTATGCAAGCAGTAGGTTGTTTATACAAAGATTTGACATGTTTTGGCTTCACTTTGAGATTTGCTGATAGAATTTTAAATGAACCTCCTAGACTATAAAGTATATGAGGACAGAGATCATTCCTAGTAGTTAGGTTTCTCACACCTAGAACAGTTCTTGGCATTGAATTGGTGCTGACTCAGTGAGCAAATAAAGGAATGAATCATTGAATCACATAAAGAGTTTAATAATAGACTCCATTGGGAATGCCCTTTCTCTAAGACTGATCTTTTCTATCAAGCATTTCTCTGAGTTGAATTTTGGAGAATGAAAGAGGGTTGATTTGTTACAGAAGTGGATAAGAGCATTTCAGGCAGAAGGAGCAGCATAAGCAGAGACATGGAGGCACAGAACAGATAAGCAGTTGAGACGTGAATCTCTTACTCTCTCATGTCTCAGGTCACTCTAGCAAACCTGGTATGGTTTATACTTACGTCTAATAGTGGTTGTGATGTGTTTTGTTTATAATTTTCTACACATGTGTTGATAAGAATTAGTGATACATAATACAATTGCACTGGTAGAAAACCTTTCATCAGGTTCATTAGGTCCAAAGTCTAATACAGGTCTTCTTTTGAAGCCATCTTTGAATATCAGGCAGAATTTACTTCTTCCTCTTCTGTGTTTATATAACATATTATATAGCATATTATACCTATCTCTGTTATGTTTTCTTATTTACATGTTTCATTTGACTAGTGTAGCCCTGACTTTGCAGTTAGTAGACATTAATTAAATGTTTGATGGATAACTGAGTGAATGAATGGATATTTATACCCAAGGTCAGCCACACTGAAGAGAAACTTCACCTTCTTTATCTCTTTTCTCTCGTAGCTGTTTGTAGTGGATGTCCAGACAAGCCAGATCACCAAGATTCCCATTCTGAAGGACCGGGAGCCTGGCGGTGTGACTCAGCAGGGCTGCGGTATCCATGCTATCGAGCTGAATCCCTCTAGAACACTGTTAGCCACTGGAGGAGACAACCCTAATAGTCTTGCCATCTACCGGCTGCCTACACTAGATCCTGTGTGTGTGGGAGATGTAAGTTTTAAAACAGAGCCCAGCAGGTAACATGGACCTTCCTCCCGTAAGCCCTTCAGGAAGAAATAGTTTGCTTACTGCTGACTTGGGGGCTGGGGTGGGGGTGAGGAGTTGTAATGGTGAGATGTGGGTACAGAGATGTCAGAGTGGGTACTGCGCTCCCCACAGAGAGCTTCAGATGCTGACAGAATGGATGTTTGATACAGGTGCGAGCACCACACCTCAGATGCCAGCAGCAGTGGGTTGGTGTTTGAGTCCACAGTGTTTACACATTTCCTACTGCCCATGGTCAGAAGAGTTTATTAAATTATTCATTCAGCAACTAATTTTTGACCCTTCTGTGGCCAGGCATTGTTTTAGACTCTGGGGATGTAGCAGTGAATAAAAGAGACAAAGCCCCCCTGTCCTCCTGAAGCCTGTGCTCAAGTGAAGGGAGGCGTATAAACCAACAAAAATGTACCAGCAGTAAGTCAGAGTGGGAAGTGCCATGGAGAAGAGGAAAGTCAGGCTAAGGGGAGAGAGTGTGGTGGAGGATGCTACTGCAGAGGGTAGTCAGGGAAGGCCTCTTTGATAAGAATAACACTTGAGCAGGGAGGCTTAAAGGAAATGTGGGTACAGGCCATGCTGATGTCTGAGGAAGAGAGTTCAGAAGAGGGAAGAACGCAGAGGTCGGTTCTAGCTGTTGTCCCAGGAAGCACAGGGGAGCGTGCCAGGCTGAAGTTGGAGGGCTGAGAGGTGGATGATGGTGTGTAGGAGCCACAGGTAAGACATCAAGAGACAGAGTGCTGGAGCAGTGTGTCCACCGGCCGTGTTTATAGCCCATAGGCAAGCCAGCTTCATTTCAGCTTTGAGCGTCTCAAGACACAGCTAAAGATTGTAGGATCATGCCATTTGGGTTGTGATCACCAGAGATCAGAATTGTAATTTTTACAAAGATATTTTCATTCAGACTTTTAAGCTTTTCAGGGGTGTACATTGTAATCCTCATTTTACTCATTTCTTTTTTCCTTCCCCCCCACCTCCCGCACCTGTCACTCCCTCCTTGAAGGACGGACACAAGGATTGGATCTTTTCCATTGCGTGGATCAGTGACACTATGGCCGTGTCTGGTAAATTGCCCTTTTGTAAGGAATTCTGGTGTGGCAGGGAAGGAGGGAGGCTAGAAGTTAAAAAAGGGGTAGTAGTGTAACTGGAAATAGCCCAATAACCAACCATCAGCCAGGGGCCAAAAAACCTTATTTCTAATATTGTCTTTTTCTCTGACTTAGCATGTGACCTTGGATAAGTCTTGTCCCTTGTATATTCCTAATCTGGAAAGTACTGGAAGTACTGGCACACTTACTATTCATACTCTGCCTTTTTTTAAAGAGCCTGTGGCCCCTTAGCTTCAATATTTTGTTGGGATTTGCTGAGACAATAGTTCAGAGAGTGGTTTTGGAAAAGTTGTGCTCTGGAAAATATTTGGAGCAATTATCATTTTCTGTACAACTATATAGTGTTGATAAAGCTGAACAGGATTGGGGAAATTCCCCTCCCAATGGTAGAACAGTCAGGAAAAATACATGGAAATGAGTGAAGAGATACTCAAATGCTTTCTGAATACCCACAGCAGCCTAGAAGGTAGGCTCAGAGTGCCAGCCAGCTTTTCTGGGTACCTGGCTTCCCAGGTGGCACAGCAGTAAAGAATCTGCCTGCCAATACAGGAGACACAGGAGATGAGGGTCAGGAAGATCCCCTGGAGGAGGAAATTGCAACCACTCCGGTATCCTTGCCTGGATAATTCCATAGACAGAGGAGTCTCAGGAGCTACGGTCCATGGGTTTGCAGAGAGTCAGACCTGACTGAGCGGTGGAGCATGCCTGCATATATATGTAAAATATAATTGTCCATTCCAGATTCCCAAATTTTAAAAAATCACAAGAGTTGCTAAATTAAGTACTTCATATGTTATTTCATAGAATCATCATAACAATCCTAGAAGGTTTACATTGTCAGCCTCATTTCACAATTGAGAAGATTTAGATTCTGAAAAGTTACAGTTTGCCAGAGGCTACAGAGACAGTGAGAGATGGAGTCAGGATCTGAAGCCAGCTCTCAGTTCAAAGCCCATGCTTAGAACTGCTACAAAGAAAGCTAAGGGAACATAAATGTTTCTTTCTTCGGGTTTTTTGCAAGGCAATAGAAAACAGCAAGGAAGGAAGGAGAAGTCTAATGGACGAACGTAGTCACAGTTCAAAAATTTTCAGTAGCGGTTCAGAAGCTTTTGGATTCCCTGTCATTTGTCTTCCCAAGAAATGAGAGCTCCTGGAGGGCAAAGACTGAATCGCGTCCCCTCTATAGGGACTATGTGTATGACAGTAAGCTGAACTAAATGGGGTTGTTGGGAGCCAGGACATGACTTCTGGAGAACTTTCCTTCTCTTTTTTTAATATACCCTGAGAGTGTTCTGTGTTTTCAGGCTGATAGCTTCCAAGGCTACATTTTGTGAACAGTAAGCAGGTTTTAAGAATACTGGCTCTGAAACAGGAACAGACTCACAAATATAGAATACAAACTTACGGTTACCAAAGCGGAGAGGGAAGGAGTCAGGACAGATTAAGGGTGTGGGATTAACTGATACAAACTACTGTATATAAAATAAAAAAGCAACAAGGATATACTGTATAGCATGGGGTATTATGCTCAGTATCTTATAATAATCTATAATGAAGTATAATCTGCAAAAATACTGAGTTATTATGTTATCTACCTGAAATTAGTATTATAAATCAGTTATATTTCAGTTTAAAAAGAAGAAAGAATATTGACTCTGAGAGAACTATACTCTGAAAACTGTACAACATTTATGAAGGAAATTGAAGATGTTGTAAAGGAAAGGAAAGATATATCCTATGGTCTTGGATTAGAGGAATTAATGCTGTTAAAATATCTGTATTTCCCTAAGCAATCTACAGGTACAATGCAATCCTTATCAGAATACCCATGACATTTTTTCATCAAACTAGAGCAGTCCTAGAATTTATATGGAACCACAAAAGACCCCAAATTGCTAGAGCAATTTTTTTTTAAAATTTTGTTTACTTGCTTGCTTTTGGCTGCTTTGGGTCTCCGTTGCCATACACAGGCCTTTTCTAGTTGCAGAGAGTGGGGGCTGCTCTCTGTTGCAATGTGCAGGCTTCCCATTGTGGTGGCTTTTCTTGTTGTGGAGCATGGGCTCTAAGCACTTGGGCTCAGTAGTTCTGGCTCTTGGACTCTAGAGGACAGGCTCAGTAGGTGTAGCACATGGGTGTAGTTGCTCCATGACATGTGAAATCTTCCTGGATCAGGGATCAATACAGGTGGATTCTCATCCACTGCCACCAGGGCAGTCCTGCCAGAGCAGCCGTGAAATAAAAAAGAACAAAGCTAGAGATAGCATGCCCCCTGACTTCAGACTAAACTACAAAGCTGTGGTCATTGAAACAGCATGGTACTGACACAAAAAGACACTCAAAGATCCATGGGACAGAACAAAGAAGTTAGCTCGTCAGTAAATCTGTGGCAAAGCATATACAATGGAGAAAAACCAGTCTTTTCAGTGAGAAGTGCTGGGAAAACTGGACAGCTATATGTAAAAGAATGAAATTATTGATAGAACATTTTCTCACACCAATATACTAAACTAAACTCAAAATGGATTAAAGACGTAAATGTAAGACTGGAAACCATGAAACTGCTAGAAAGCATAGACAGAACACTCTTTAATATAAATCGTAGCAGTGTCTTATTTGATCTCCTGAGGCAAAGGAAACAGCCAAAAAAGACCACCTATGGAATGGGAGAAAATGTTTGCAAATGATATGACCAATAAGGATTAATATCTAAAACATATAAATAGCTCGTATAACTCTATAAAAAAATTAACAGCCCAGTTAAAAATTGGTCAGGGAACGTCCCTGGTGGTGCAGTGGTTAAGAATCCACCTGCCAATGTAGCGGATACAGGTTAAATCCCTGGTTGGGGAACTAAGATCCCAGAGTCTGAGGAGCAACTAAGCCCATGTGCTCCGAGCCCCACAACTGGAGGATCCCTGCACCACAACGAACAGTGCCACATGAGGCAGTGAAAATCCCATGTGCCACAACCGAGACCCAAAGCAGCCAAACTAGCATTTAATAAAATAGGTAGCCGTGGAATTCTCTGGCAGTCCAGTGGTTAGGACACTGCGCTTTCACTGCCAAGGGCGCAAGTTCAATTCCTAGGCAGGGAACTAAAATCCCACAAGCCACGTGGCACATCCAAAAAGCTAAAACAGGTAACAACAAGGACCTATTATTTATTTATTTTATTTATTTATTTTATGGAACACTTCACGAATTTGCGTGTCATCCTTGCGCAGGGGCCATGCTAATCTTCTCTGTATCGTTCCAATTTTAGTATATGTGCTGCCGAAGCAAGCACAGGACCTATTATTTAGCACAGGGAACTCTGCTCAATATATTGTAATAACCTAAATGGGAAAAGAATTTGAAAAAGAACAGATGTGTATATATGTAACTGAATCAGTTTGCTGTACACTTTAAAGTAACACAATACTGTTAATCAACTATATTCCAATGTAAAGTAAAAATGAAAAAAACAAGATGTGGTAATATACACAATGGACTATTACTCAGCTATTAAAAAATGATGAAATTCTACCATTTTCAACACCATGGATGGACCTGGAGGGTATTATGCTTAGTGAAATAAGTCAGTGAAAGACAAAGACTCATCACTGGAATGTGGAATCCAAAAATAAAATGAATGTATAAAAACAAACAGTTTCACAGAAAAAGAGAATAAACTAGTGGCTACCAGTGGGGAGAGAGCTGGGGCAAGATAGAAGTATGGAATGGAGTACAAACTACTGTGTATAAAATAAGCAACAGGGATATATTGTGCAGTACAAGGAAATACAGCTATTATATTATAATGACCTTAAATGGAGTATAATCTATAAAAATATTGAATCACTGTGCTGTATACCTGAAACAAATCTAGGGACTTCCCTGGTGGTCCAGTGGCTAAGACTTCCAATGCAGGGGGCACTGGTTTAATCCTTAATTAGGGAAGAGTCCATATGCTTCATGGAGTGGCCAAAAAAAAAGATTAAAATCGAAAATCTAAAATTTAATCTAAAATTAAAATCTAAAAATCTATCTTTAATCTAAAAGATAAAATCTAAATCTCAATAGAAATCTCATCTTCTATTGAGACTTCAATTATGATAATACAGAACATACCTTCCTTATAAACTGTAGAATAAATAAAACCTCTACATACACAACGAAAACCCATCAATGTTCCTAATATATAATTTTGCCATCTAAATTGAGGAAATACAGCTTTGTACAAATAATAATCTTCAAGTACTGTGTTCTCCAAATTGTTGCATATTGAAAGTAGCTTGTGTTTCAGTTTCCTGATCATCCAAATAAGTTGGTACTCTTCCCTGCCCTAATGATGGAGATGCCCTGTGACATGCTGATGACATATCGTAGGATACACAACACCACATACAATTACGGAAGCTAAAGAGTAAAATCACAGTATACATTTTAAAACTATAATATGTGCGGAGACAATAAGAAACCTAATTTGGAGGAGTGATATAAAAAGATTGAGAAACTGCCTCAAAATTTTGCAGTAAGCAGCTCAGTTGCAAAAATAACTAGCTCCAACATTCGGTTGTACAGGAGGGCAGGGGAAGATTTTTCTGGGGGAACTTCCCTGGCAGTTCAGTGGTTGAGACTCCACGTTTCAGCTGCAGGGGGCCTGGGTTTGATCCTTGGTTGGCATCCTAAAATCCCATAATCTGCACAGTGCAGTAAAAAAAAAAACTGTTGAATTTTCAGTTATGCCTCATTTACATCCAAATCAGGAATTTCATACTCTGAGAGGTCACATCAGCTTTCTTGCTGATATCTTGCCAGGTAGTTTTAAGTCAGTGTAGATATCTTATTTCATTGGGTATAAACAAGGTTCTGTTATTTACCAAAAAAGAATGTTTGATGTACCATTAACATTAAAATAGGTTTTGCTGCATTAAAAAAAAGAATATTGGCTCTGATAATAAAGACCTGAATTTGAATCCTGGTCATACTGCTTATTAGCATAGAGGACAAGTTATTTAAGCCTTTTTAAGACTTGGGTTTAAACATGGATAATGATTATACATACTTTAAAGGGGCGTTGGGAAGATCAAATGATACAGTGTTTAGTGGCTGCCATAGTGAAAATGCTCAATACTTGTTAACCAGTGTTAATGTTCACATTTGATGAACATCAACCCCTTGATGATGAACATTTCTCTCAGATTCAGGGTATTCAAACTCATCATCTCCCTCCCAGGACCACACCTCTCCCTACCATTGACATATTGGTAATGCTCCTACCTTCTACCTAGGCATACAGCAAGGGAACTAAGACCATTCAGTCTCCATCTATAACCAAGCCCTGTTGATTTGATTTTCTAAAATATCTCTTACACCCATCAATTTATTTTCTGCCTTCTCTGGGTGCTCCTCATCTATCTTTTGAATTACCCCAATGTCCTTCTGTGTTTTCTCTCCGATTCTAGTCTTATCTCCTCTAAATCTAGTCTTCATGTTGCTGCCAGATTAGTTCTTTAAATAAATTTTTCCTTACTGCAAAAGTAACCTGTTTGTTATAAGAATTTTAAGAATTCAAATAAAAAAAGGAAAGCATTACCCACACAATCTCTGCCTAGAGATAGCCACTGTTGACATTTTTAAATACATCTTGCTAGTTTTTTTTTCAGTACATATTCCAGTTAAAATGGAATCATTACTAGGTTAAAAGAGGATCATTTAGAAGGATAGATAGATGTATGTTATACCACGTATAACGTGGTATAAAATGATGATGCTAGACTCTAGATGTAAGTATATAATTCATTGTAAAATTCTTTCAACATTTCAACATGCTTGACATTTTTCATAATAAAGCTTGTGGTGTTTTATTTTTTGAACTTGCATTATCACTCTTACGTAGTTCTCTAGATGTGCCCTTCTTTCGGTGGCCTTTTCTGGATTTCACACACATTGAACCCTCTGTTTTGAACCTCTGTCCACAGACCTTATGGTGCAAATTGAGTAATATTTCTCCCATGTTAGACAGTTTTTACTGTGAAGTATTCAGGAGATTTAAAGTGTGGGAGGGGCACCTTCTGGTCTAAATGGAATGTTGGCAAATATTGATACTGAAAGGAATTTGAAAAATTTTTTAATGGTTCTTGATATACTGTTTTATATCTATCCAATAGACCCGTTTTAAGTGCTTCATTATTGTTTCCTAAGGGAAACAATTTATGTTATTAAACACTCATCTTATGTAGAACAGTCATTCTTAATTCAGGGGTTGTGGTCCGTTTAAGGGGCCTAGGAACCTCCCTGAAGTTGAGTGTGCAATGTAGATCTTTGGTGTATTTTTCTAGAGAAAGAAGTCTTTAACATTCCTAAGTCTGAAGAAGGGGTACTGTGACTCCAGAAATGTTAAGCACCGCTGATCTAGAGTGGAGATCACCTGTGCATTCACGCCCCAGTAAGCTGAGCGTTTGGCTTGGAACATTACTGAGCTTTGTCAAATGTATTATGTTCTCTTTTGAATAGTCTCACCAACCACATTACACTTCAAGGTTACATTTTGGGACTTCCCTGGCAGTGCAGTGGTTAAGACTCTGCACTTCCAGTGCAAGGGGTGCAGATTCGATTCCTGGTTGGGGAACTAAGATCCCACAGGTTGTGGGACAGGTATGGTCAAAAATATACATATATATGCCTATATATTAACTCCTACACTTGAGTTGAATCATCCTCTCAGTGTAGCTGTTAAAATGCATACTGCTGTTCGTTTTGGGTGCTCGGAGAACTAGGCTAAGAAAGTCCTTTTGGCTTCCGTGGGAGTGTCTCTTGGCGAGCTGGTATGTCTGATGCCCGTGGTCTCCTCTCCCGGCAGGCTCTCGCGATGGTTCTATGGGACTCTGGGAGGTGACGGAGGACGTGCTGACCAAAAGCGACGCAAGACACAATGTGTCACAAGTCCCTGTGTATTCTCACATCACTCACAAGGCCTTAAAGGACATCCCCAAGGAGGACACAAACCCTGACAACTGCAAGGTCCGGGCCCTGGCCTTCAACAACAGGAACAAGGTATGAGCTTGCCAGAGGGCCCTGAAGCCTGTTCCCCCTGCTCCAGTTCCTTGGCGTATGTCTTGGAAGATGCACTTCCCTTCTCTTTTCCCGAGTCAGAGCTTACTGCATAATTCGGTTCTGAGCCCAAACAGCATCTCTTAAAGACTGAGGGATGCTCAGTAACAATCTCTCTCTGAGAAAGATCATAACTAAAATGATGAAACCTACCCCTTGCAGTGAGTATTCTCTGCATGGTTCATGTCTGTTAACCTCTCAGAGTTTCCCCAGGGCCTTTCTGATCTGTCTCATCTGCACCTGACCTTGCAGGTGCTCTATTTTGGGTATGATTTTCCTACATGCAGTCACTTTCTTCTCTCTTGTATTCAGTTCCTTTTCATTCTTCACAACCTCTTCTCAATGCTTCCACCAAGTCTAATCATCTGAGTCAGATCTCCTGAAACTGAACTATTAAGTAGACTGCTGGTTTGAAGACCCAGACCCATAAGAGAAGAAAGGCTTTCCCCACAATTTGAGGGCTAGTTCCCTTAGCCTCCCATCTCTCATCCATATTTAGGGGTTAGGGGTAGATGGATCTCCTTCCTTAGACTCTCTACTTACAGCAGCTCTCACACTGAGACTTATAAAACTGGCTTTCATGTGTGTGCTCTTTTCTAACTGTCAAACAGGATGTGACATGTATGATTGTATGCTACTGGCTTTTGGAACCTTGGGTGTCTCTGTTCAAGCCTGGACTAGCTTCTTGGGTTCTCTCAAGAAGCAGCCTTGCTTTATTATGCTGTCCAGCTGCATTTCATAGGCTGAGATGAGGGGCTGATAATCCCTGGCACCATCATGGGATCCAAGTGAGGAATGGAGGACCCCATCCTGCAGGTATTCTCCTGCTTACTGTTGTGAGTTGCTGTGCATATGACCTGTTTTTCATTGCTTTTGCAGGAATTGGGAGCAGTATCGCTGGATGGCTACTTTCATCTCTGGAAGGCTGAAAATACCCTATCTAAGGTGTGATGAACATGACTTAGTTTCACCTTAAAGTTAAAATACTGTAATCTTCTGAATTATTCATTCTTATCTAAAACATGAATTCTTGAAGTGTCTAGACATGTGATCACATGGTACATGAACTTCTGAGTCTAGCCTGCCTCTTTTGAAAATCTTTTAAAGAAGTCAGTGAGGTGATGCTTTCACATTGTTCACATTGCAAGGGCTTGCTGAGAGACTCCTTAACTCATAGTCTTCCATTCCACAGTGCATTTCAGTATTTGCTTATGGATTGTGGACTATTTGCAACATTGTCAGGGCAGGCAAATCTAAATGTTAGGAGTCGTTGACGAAAATCAATTAAGAGAAGTCATCTCCAAAATAATCATGTAAGGTGTGGGTGTTGGTTGCTTAGTCGTGTCCCAACTCTTTGCAACCCCGTGGGCTGTAGCCTGCCAGGCTTCTCTGTCCATGGAATTCTCCAGACAAGAACACTGGAGTGTGCCATTTCTTTCTCCAACGCAAGGTAAGAATTCACAATATTTGCGAGCAGCTTTTGCCTAAAGCTAAACGTACCCGTGAATCCTTTGCTCCGTTCTTGTCCCAGAGGCCTTTGAGACCTACTCCTTCTTTGATGGAATCTCTTTCACGAGGAAGCAGAGCTCCAGGAATTACTGAGTGCCTCATGTCATAGGAGCCTTTGTGCTCCACCATCCTTGCTGGGTGCCTCAACTGCAGTGGGCTCTGAAGATTGGCTAAATGATAAGGATCCAGGGTCAGCGCGGATTGGGCGGCCTGGGGTTGAGCAGAGCCACGAGTGTGCTCTCTGTAGTGTAAGCTGCCACACAGTGGGGGATTTAGGCTGCAGATCGCCAGAAACAAGGTCCCCTACCTGAAGCTTGGTGAGAAGGTTGGGCTCTTCCTGGCAGAGAAAGCAGATGGGCCCTTGGCTTTAATGCCTGGAGTTATCCCTGGAAACAGCCTGTGGCGTTTGGCCTTTCTCTCTGCTTCTCATGATTTAATTCCAGCTTGACCTTTTCCCCTAAGCAGTCCTCTTCAGTACCTAGATCTTGTTTACTATCACCACCTTTGTTTCTCTGGCATACCTGGGGATGGAGCAGTGTGTCTTTTGATCTCTGGCTGTGCACGTCTTGTGGGTGGGGACAGCCCACAGGGATGGGCAGCAGAAGACGGCGCCCTTCCTATACGCTCTAGTGTTACCGTGGTGACCTTTCTCCTCTGTTTTCAGCTCCTCTCCACCAAACTGCCATATTGCCGTGAAAATGTGTGCCTGGCCTATGGTAATGAATGGTCAGTCTATGCAGTGGGCTCCCAAGCTCACGTCTCTTTCTTGGACCCGCGGCAGCCATCATACAACGTCAAGTCTGTCTGCTCCAGGGAGCGAGGCAGCGGTAAGAGCCCTGTGCGCCCCTCAGGCTTAGAGCTGCATCGCCGTTGGTTTTTGCCCTTCTGTTTCCATACTGGCTTCCAGACGAGTACAGTGATCTTTATGAAGGAGTTTGGTGACACAGAGGGGAGCTGGAATGCCTGCGTGGCGGCCAAGCTTCAAACACTTGAGACAAATGTGTGGTCACAGAAGCCTTTGATGGAAACCAGTCGTCAGGATATTGGTGGTTTCTGTGCTCCCTCACATCACCCTGCTCTCTTTCCTGTGTTCGTTTCTTTGTTGGAACTCTGCCTGAACTAGAAAATTCATTTTATGCTAAGGGATGATGCAGTAGACTGAGGGGGATTTTGGAGGGCTGTGAGGAAACTTTTGGGGGTGATAATGTTATTTTGGTTGTGGTGATGGTGTTGTGGATATATACATATATTAAAACTTCACTTTGTGTACTTTGAATATTTGCAGTGCTTTGTATATTGATTGTATGTCAATAAAGATAAAGAAGATACTTAGTTCTGACCACTGGATGAACTAGACTTCAAAACTCCACCACCACCAATCTTTAATAGCATATTCTCTCACAGGGCACCCTCATTCTTTATTGAGGAATAAAAAGGCATGTTTGTACTGTACTTAAAGATTTCAGAATACTTTTGTCAGCCGTCTCATTTCATCTTACCAAGAACCCTGTGGGAGGCACTTTATACCCCATTTTATAGAGGAGGAGACTAGGACCCATATCGGTTGAATAACTTACCCAACATCACACTGGTTGGTAGAGGAACAGCCTCTTCTGGATAGGGACCAGAATCCAGAGGATCCAATTTAACAAAGTGTGTTTTTTCTTATCTCTCCTTTGTCCCCCTTCTCATGCAAAAAACGTGGCTGCAGTTAAAAGGCACTGCATGGATTACACTTTAGCTTCTCTCTTTCAAGTAATATTTATTTTCATGCAAATGTTGCAGATATGGCCTTTGTTTTGGGCTTGTTTGTTTTCAGTTATCTTTGAAATGCTTATATTTCAGAACTGAGAGAGTAACTGTGTGTAAGTAAGGGAAAGAGTAAATTGCCTTGGCAGGAATGATGTCTGCAGTGAAGAGATTTTGGTTACTGTTACAGAAGTGGCATTCAAACCTAATAAGGAGATATTGATTTCACAAATACTAGTGAGACCTCTTCAAAGCGCATGCTCTTATTTAGTCCACAGATGCAGCAGATGTGTTTTCCCTGTGACCCAAAGGGATTAGGTGACTTGTCTTAAATTCACAAGTGAGAGACTGTGCACCTTTGAGCCTTGAGTTCTAGGCTATTTGCCACTCTCCTAACACAATTAATACCAGATAAAGACGTCTTGCCGTGCCATGGTAGTGGTTTTAGGTCAAATACAAGAAAGTCCTTGTTAATGTAATGATTTATAAATATGCATATTACCCTCAGCTTCAGTGCAGGTTAGAAACATAGAATGGAGACGAGCTCAGAGTGATGAAGGATGACTTCAGAGTGAGCCAAGGGAGGCAGGAAGGTTCAGGGCAGACTTGCGGTCCTAGGCCACAAGCATCTCAGGCATCATCAGGCGCTTCTCTGAGGCTTATGGGAAGGTTCCTGTTAGTGTGCGTGGCCAGTGTGGCATCACGGTGCTTCGGCTTGCGCCTGAGCTAGGTCTGCCACAGGAAAGGTGCTGTGGGATGTCGGGGTGGCATGTGAACTCAGCGCCAGAGAAATTCAGGCTCGCAGATCCGATCGCCCTTTTCCTTTTCTCTCTCTCAGGGATCCGGTCAGTGAGCTTCTACGAGCACATCATCACTGTGGGCACAGGGCAGGGCTCCCTGCTGTTCTATGACATCCGAGCTCAGAGGTTCCTGGAAGAGAAGCTCTCAGCTTGTTGCGGGTCCAAGCCCAAACTCGCAGGAGAGAACCTGAAACTAACAACTGGCAAAGGCTGGCTGGTGAGTAAGCCCAGGCCTCACATGGCTACCGGCCAGTGACAGAAACGGAGTCCTTACACTCCCACCCCTGCTAAGACGTCATAGTGTTTTCAGTAGTAAGAGGCAGGTCAAGGTGATTTTTGTTTCTGTGTCTGCACATCCATGGGAAAACTGAAGCCCCAAAGACAAACTAGTTGACCCAGGATAACCTGCAGGTGATAACAGCCAGAAGGAGAAGGAGCCTCCCACTGAGACTGCCAGTGAATTATTAAAGCACTGGTTCCAGCGGTCCTGAGAAGACCGTAGGTTTTCTTAGCACTTTTCCATCCTACTTGGCTCCTCCCTAACGTCATTTGGAAAAATGGGGCCCCAAGTCCATGAGCACCAGTCTCCTGGGATCCAGTGATAGATAACAGGACCTTCTCTCAAGGGGCCCAGAAAGCATCCTTGTCCCTTCTTTCACCTTTTCTGCCCCTCTGGCAAGTGCTAACAGAGTCTTTTTTTTTACCCCATAGAATCATGATGAAACCTGGAGGAATTACTTTTCGGACATTGATTTCTTCCCCAATGCTGTTTACACCCACTGCTACGACTCGTCCGGAACGAAACTCTTTGTGGCAGGAGGTCCCCTCCCTTCAGGGCTCCATGGAAACTATGCTGGGCTCTGGAGTTAATGACAACCAACTGTCTCCCCAAATGCAGAGATTTACACTAACTTCCATCTTCAGTTTCCATTTCTTCTTTTGATTTTTTTCCAATTGTGTGAGGCCCTCATATTTTAGTGGGAACACCAGAGTTTGCCTATGCTTTAGGCACTTGACAGGAAGAACCTCTGTACAGAAATTTAAAGGACTTTTTGGTTTTTTGTTTCATTTTTTTCTTTTTTTTGGTAAGCAGACTTTAACTTTACTATCTTTTTTCTTCCTGGCTTCTCAACCAGACATTGTTGTTAATTCCTGTTTGTATTTTTTCTTTAAGTGACACACACTCTCCCCTCTCTGGGTTCCTTAGGTTGACATAGTCATCCTCACCCTTACTTCACTCTTGAGAGGTAGGGCTCCTTTATAATTATACAGTTGCTGTCCTAGACTTTCTGTGAAAGTTTGGGGGCTGTGTGTGTGATGTGTGTGCGGTGTATGTGTGTGAGAGAGAACTTGTGTGCCTGTAAGTACCGTGTGTCATTGAAGTTACCTGGAGTGAGGATTACTGTAATTAAAATATTTATAAAAGAAACAACTTTATTCACAGAGTCTAGCTTTGGGACTGGTCTTTATCTTGTTTTGTAAAGTCTGACACTGATTATAGGAAGTAAAAATAGAAGGGAAAACAAACCACCAGTAGGAAACCCTTTGAATTCGACTGAAAGCTCCCTGCGCCTCTGACGCCAGGACTGCAAAGTAACCCACCTCCCACCTGCCCCTCCCCTTCTGTGACCCTCGGGGAGGACATCTCTGTGTATGTGTCACTTCCACTTCAGTTTCCCATCCGGTCCAATCCACGGCTACTCCCCCCAAAACAGCAGAGTCTCAGTTAAAAATGCAGCTCTGGCAGTTGCAGAAGGCCTGATGGGACTTGATCAAAAGAGTTTCCATTCCAGCCTCCCTCTCCCTCCTCTCAGACAAGACCTGATATGGTTCCTCAGGGACCTGGAATGGGAGACCTCAGGTCTGCTAAAATGCACATGCTTTGGTCCCTTTGGCTTTGAGGAGAAACTTCTTCACCTTTCTTCTAATCTCCCCAGCGGGTTTTGCTTTTGTTTTCTAAAATGGGTTCAGTTCAGGAGGGTGGGGATGAGCAGGGGATTTATCTGTGTGTAGTGAGTGCCTCGTGTGTGAAATGTGTGTTTTCTGAAGACAGTGGAGCCACTTTGTTGGCTCCGCCCTGGGATGGCAATGGGGTGGCCTATAGCCAGCAGTGTTGTGCATGTAAAAGCAGCGATGTGATCAGTGATTTGTTCCACCCTTGAACTGTGTAGTCTGAGGTTTTTGAACTTGCAGGCAACTGACTGACCAGTTACTCCTTGCTTTTTTATGCATCATATTGCAGATAAGAGCTGTTCCCACCCCCATATTCCTCCACCACTCTAAGCACATGCTCTTTTTCTGGTAGCAGCCCATTCTGGGGTAAAGAAGTCATATTCCTGCACTCGTGTCCAAGTCGCTTTCCTAGTTGTCCCCCCTGCTCTGGGTGTAACTGAGGAGATTGAAAAAAAAAAGTATCTTCTCTTTGGTGATGGAGGGCTAATGGGGAGGGGAGACAGCACGTCCACCCTGTATAGTGTTGCAAGGCATACACCACAGGTTCTAGAATTTTCATCTTCTAACCTAGAGACATAGGTGCTATAAACAGTGAATTAAGCAAAATGCTGGATGCTACAGATCTTTTAATTGTCTTAATTTTTTTCTATTATTAAACTACAAGCTGTAGATTTCTTAGTTCTCACAGAACTCATTTTAAACCTACTTGTATACAAATAATTTTAGGATGTTTTGTACTGTTGCCAGACCCTCTTCTGTGACGGGTAATGCGTTTGATTGTTTGAGGTTTTGTTTTTCAAAATGTAGCACTTGACTTTTTGCCAAGTAAAAATAAATAAATATTCCAGTGCAAAGTGGTTTGAGTATGTGTAGCCAAGAGGCAGCAGGAAAAAGGTCCCCAGTGACTGGCTGGAAGGCCAGTTTGGGATTCTCGGATTGCTTGAAGCAGAACACAGGAGTTCCCCCAAGGGTAAAGGTGGGTCAAAGGCAAACACACAAACATACCTGCTTGCGCCTGGTCCCCAACCCTGGCCCAGGAGCAGTTGCTCTGGAGTCCAGTTGAGAGTAGGCATGCCTGGAGGAAGTGGCGTGGTGCTTGGAGATAAGCAGAGACTGACGGAGGGAGCATGCTAGTCCTTGCTCTGAGTGACCGGATGAGCAAAGTGACCAGCTCCTCTCACATAAACCAGGGGGGTGATGGGCCCCATCGGTTTCAGTGGGGGTAATGAGAACGACTGAAAGTGCCCCAGGAACAGGCTTTCATTTTGTCGAAGTTGGAACCGTAGATCCTAACTGTAAGAGAAACCAGTGTCTTTAGTAAGTGATGTTCTTCCCAGCGGGCTGTTGCGCTGAGAAAGGTGGACTGCTGAACCCTACCACTCTCCACACAGTCATCTCTGGAGGACCCCTAGGACTGGGCCACAGAGTCATGCAAGCTGGATACAGCTGCTGTCAGAGACTGCTTCAGAAGATGATTCATACAAGCAACTACCTACTGATACATGATCAAAGGCCGCAAACAGGAGAGGGGAAGTGAAAGAGTTAAAGCGGTTGAAAGGGCTTCCCAGAGGAGAAGAGTTAAGAGCATTTGGAAAGGGACTGAAATTAGCCTTTCCCAGAATGAGATTTTTCAGAATCCCCAATCCGTGGAACAGTAATGGGCATTTGCAAAATGTCCCATGTTCAGATTACTTGGGGGAAATATAGATGAAAACAAAGACATGTATTTTCACAACCTGAGGTTTGGGGTTACCATGGGACTTGTGCATGAGACAGGCTCAGAAAAAGGTGACGAAGTGTGGGGAGGGCCTGGCCTAGACCTCTGGCCTTCATGGAATCTTGGCCCTGCTCCCACTTTCCAGTCAGACTTTGAAGCAAACTATGTATCAACAGCAGGGCTTTGTGGGCTTACTTGGTCCCTCCCCTTCCTGCCAGCAGGCCTTAAAGGGACCCAGGCCATGAAAGAAAGTCCTTGTTCTCAGGCACATGCCTCATTTGAAATGGTCTACTGGCTCCTCCCATCATACTTTGGGTCCTTTTGCAGAGGCTTTGGAATCTCATTTATGCTCCAGGTCCTCCCATTCCTGCCACTTCGAAAGTGGATTAGTATTAATCTGGTCCATCAAGATAACAATGTTATATTTATTAGTATTCCTAGTAAAGCTAAAGATTGCCAACCCAGGGCTCTCTGATCCCAAACATTTCCTAGAGCAGGTAGGAAAAGTAAGGGTGTCAAGATCCTTGCCTCAGGATTGGGGGGTCAATCTTCTAAGACCCTACAATCCAAGTGTTTTTTTCCTTTCTTTTCAGTTGGCTAGTGTCTCAGAGACAACAATGTTGGGGCACAGGGTATGAAGGGAAGAAAACAAATACTCCATGTTTCTTGCTTTTAGCCACATCTCATTTCATACTATTGTGCTGAAATGGCTGGAAGCTTTGAAAGGGTAGAAACATGGGCTTCTAATTCTGTAATTACTGACGAAGACAAAAAAAAGTTCAGGTTTGTTAACTTGATTCTCCTGCCTTCATTTCAGTTCCTCCAAAGAATAATATAGAGAAACAAATGTTAGAAATTTGTTTCTAAACTACCTCTAGAGAAAGAGAGGTGTGAACTGAACTCAAGATGGAATTGTGTAAACCTATGATTCAGCTCTCCAGACAGGTATGAGTTGTCCTCTTAAATTCCCTCTGGGTTGAGCCTCATGTCTGAACACTCCTCTTGATTAGTGTGTAATTGCTGAAGTCAGAACTTTTAAACGATAATCATACTCATTAGCTCAGCTCAGTGTCACATGTTTACTGCCTTTGTTGTTAAGCAGTATTCAGAGTTGTAATTAACATCCCTAGTGCTCTAACAGGAAGAAAACAAATGATCAACTCCCATCTTAAAATAAACTTCCCTCACTCATAGCTACTTTTTCCTTAGCTGATGACAGCGTGGATAGAGGACTGGAAATAATAATCCAGCTTCTTTGTTCTACAGGGTCAAGGCCATTTGTCAGTGCAGAGAACACTGTGCTGGTTACCTTGGCCTGAGCTGTAGCAGTTAGGGCCCTACAATGTGTTGCTTACCTAAGAAGCATCCTTCACCGTCACCACCTCTATTCTGCTTCCCTTGGCTCTTCTGCTAAAAACGCAAAATTATTGCTCCAATCACCACGCTTAAGTGTCCACTATTAGATCTTTCTCTTTTCTTGAGGGAGGAGTCTGTTGTATTACCTGATTAAAGATACTGGGGGTGGGGGGGAGGGGGGCACTTAAAGACACTATTGCTCCTCCTTTAAAGTGCCGATTGCCCAAGGTGAGTGTGGCCTGCAAGGGGAGGATATGGGCTCAGTTACAGTTTTACCACTGATGCTCATGGACATGAATTTAAACAAGTCTTTACTCCTCTCTGGACATGAGTTTTTTTGTTTTTTTTTAATCTTATACAATGAGGACAGGAATTCAAATCAGACATTAGATTTCTGTCATCCACAACTATTGTACTGGTGCAGGGAAGCCTAAGAAGAATTGGAAGTAATCCTCTACTAGTGTTCTCAAAGCAAGTAAATAGAGTAGGGTTTATTAAATGAGTCTTATTTTCCTAATAATTTCCAATAAAACATTGGAAATTGTAGGTTGAATGGTGTACCCACAAAATTCAAGTCTACCAGAACCTCAGAGCAGTGATAGGATTAGTCAGTCGTGTCTGACTCTGTGACCCTATGGACTGGAGCCCGCCAGGCTCCTCTGTCCATGGGATTCTCCAGGCAAGAATTGTGGAGTGGGTGGCCATTCCCTCCTCCAGGGGATCTTCCTGACCCAGGGATTGAACCTGGGTCTCCTGCATTGCAGGTGGATTCTTTATGGTCTGAGCTACCGGGGAAGCCACCAGATCATCAGTGTGACCTTTAAGGTCTTTGTAGATGTAATCAGGAAGGATTGAGATGGGCTTATGCTGAGTTAGGGAGTCCCTAACTCCAATGAGAGGGCTTCCCTGGTGGTTTAGACCGTAATGAATCTGCTTGCAATGCAGGAGACCTGGGTTTGATCTCTGGGTTAGGACAATCCCCAGGAGAAAAGAGGGTCTACCGGTCTTCTTGCCTGGAGAATTCATGAACAGAGGAGCCTGGTGATCTACAGTCTGTGGGGTCACAAAGAGTCGGACATGACTGAGCGACTAACACACACATACACACCAATGAGATTGACTTTATGAGACAGCAAAGGGCATACGGGATCAACCAGAGAAGATGATGTGAAGACAAAAAGAGATTGGAGTGATGCCAAAGAATGTAAGCCAAAGAATGCCAGGAGCCACCAGAAGCTGGAAGAGGCAAGGAATGAGTCTCTTTAAAGCCCTAGGAAGGATTGTGGCCCTGCTGACATCTTGATTTTGGATTTCTGGCTTCCAAAACCATGAGAGAATGAATTTCTGTTGCTTTAAAGCCACCAAATTTGTGGTGATTTATTTCAGCAAACCTAGCAAGTTAATACAGAAGTATTCTGAGGAATTTTCAGATGCCAATTTCTATAAAATCACATTTGAGATTTAAGAAAAATGTTTTTCTTTTCTGACAGTACAAAGAGGAACTGTACTTATATAGTAGTGCTAAGACTTATAAAAGCAAAAATTAAAGCTCGAGGATTTTCCTGGAAGTCCAGTGGCTAAGACTCCATGCTCCCAATGCAGGAAACCCAGGTTCCTCCCAACCCAGGAACCCTGATCAGGGAACTAGATCCTGCATGCTGCAACTAAGACCCGGTATAGCCGAACAGATAAATGAAAATATTTGCTTCTGGCTGAAAATCCTGTTCCTTCCAGAACTGAGGCAGTAATCCCCAAAGCTGCCTACCCCTGGTTGTTTCTTCCTATCTCAAACTGCCTCAACATTTTAAACTTTTACTCTAGGTCACCTTTTCATAATGTGGACAGTAGGGACTCAGGGAGCTTTCTCATCCTGGATTTATTAGCCAGAAAATATGGACAGCTCTCTGCAGTTCCCCCTTGAAAATAGGAGAAAATAGAAGATCTAGTTAAGGCCTAACACACCTAAACCTGCTTTATGATAGGATCTGTCCCTGGCCTGCCTCTGTGACCTGGAGCTGCTAGCCAGAGTCAGAAGGATGCCCAAGCCAACAGAAAAGTCAGCACTGACTTAACCGTTCCTAAGCTAGTGGTTTATTTTATTGACTATGGTCTTAATTGGGAAGACTGAGCCTAGCAAAATGGTATTCATTGCACTGAAAAATTATTATCTCAGGACTTCCCTGGGAGTCCAGTGGTTAAGACTCCACACTCCTAATGTAGGGAGTGAGGGTTCGATCCCTGGTCTGGGAAATAAGATCTCACATGCTGCACAATTTGGCCAAAACAAAAAACCCACAACAAAAATTATTGATTGTCTCCATTGACCCAGACTTCTGGAAATGTTAGGAAATATTCTAGACAAGTATGCGAAGACAGATGTAGGAGAATGGTTGTTGAGCATTATTTCTTTTTAATATGTTTTCTCAACTTATCAGAGTATTTTTTATTTATTTATTTTTTTTTGGCTGCACTGGGTCTTTGCTGCTGCAGCAGGCTTTCTATTGTTGCCGAGAGCAGGGTCTACTCTCTGGTTGCGGTGGGTGGGCTTCTCATTGCAGTGACATCTCTTGTTACAGAGCACTTGTTCTAGGGCATACAGGCTTTGGTAGTTGTGGCCCACACTTAGTTGCTCTGAGGCATGTAGGACCTTCCTGGACCAGGGATTGAACCCATGTCCTCTGCATTAGCAGGAGGATTTCTAACCACTGGACCACTAGGGAAGTCCTGTCGTAGCATTAATCAGCAAAAAGACAAAACAAACAACTGGAAGTTCATGCTCAG